ATCATTGTTACTGTTTTTGGCATATTGAATATGCCACGGGAGCTTGCCAGGCTACGCCTGGGCAGGGCGAAGTCAGAAGAAACTCTGGTGGAGGTTCGTAGCAGTCCTAGACCCACATATGCTGTCTAAATGGATCGATTGTATAAGTTGGAGCTTTGTCTACGTTCTTTTTTTCTTTCCGCATCCCCAGACTCTAGGGCTGACTCTCAGTCTGTCCTTCGCGCCCAGCTCACGCTGCCATGCATCTGTTGCAAATAGAAAGCACATGGGTTCAGGGAAGGAGAGACTTGGCTTGGAGGCAGTGTGCCAGGACGGGGGCATGGCATTAGTGGGACAGATGAGGGGCAGGATGGAGTCCCAGCCATGGCCAAGGCAGGAGGAGGAGGAGAGGATTCAGCCTGTTTGATCAACGAGCATTTGTTTCAGGGGGAGCAGTTCAGTCTCCCATTTCAGAGCCAAAGATGGGGGCCTGCTGGGTGGGCCTGGTCGAAGGCTCCCCTGGAAGGCAGGAGGCGCTATCACTGTCTCGTCCGTTTCCGGGAGGAGATTCAGCATGGCCAATGGACAGGTGTCACGGACACTTTCTTTGGGGGATCTGGCGGAACCACACCTGCCATTGTGTTGGGGGCTACTCCTGGCCCTCCTGGCGGCCACTCATGGTAGAGTTCAGGGGGACACGCTCCCATGCAAAGCATGTGCCTCAGCGCCCTGGAGCGTTCTCCCTGCCCTTGCTGGGAAATGGTTTTCCTAAGTTGCTTATAGAGAGAGACGACAGAGGCTATGTCCATTAGCCAACCTCAACTCCACCACAGCCTGTCAGAGGCCCTCAGGACCTGTGCACTGAAATAACGGTCCTAACGCTGGTAAAGGAAGAGTTGGCCAGGTCCTTGGAAGCACAGAGGATTCAAACGGGAGGAAAGCGAGTCTGTGACAGCTCCCAGATCCCTCCAGTAGAGCAGGACCAGAGCCAGAGCACAGGGGTGAGGTGTTTGCCTCGCACTTGCACGACCTGAGTTCTATCCCAGCATTCCATAGGGCCCCCTTCGTCCCAGGCATCGCCGGGTGTGACCCCCCAAACCAAAACAAAATAAACTCACTGCAGAGCAGTGGGTAGCAAGGGGCCATGGAGCCACGGAACCTGAGAGCTGAATGGGCCTCTTGGCTCCGTGCACAGGTTTCCTTTGATTTCCGATGTTCCTTCTCCTGAAGAACATGGCCCCGTGTCCCTGCAGAGCTGGGGGCAGTAGGCTGGCGGGGTTAATCATATCCGGACTTCTAAGGACCAGTCGGGAGCCTGGCCAGCTTAGGCCCATTGTCCTGACCTCCTGCTGCTGGCTTCCTGGCCACAGCAAGATTGGGGATGGCTCGGCGTCTCGAAGGCTCAGGGCTCTCCCCACCAGCTTTGGAAGTCAGGACCCGCCTGGCGCGTGGGACAGTGATGCAGGGGGCTGGATCCTCTCCCCACATCACCGGGTCAGTCGCTGTACGTTCACATCATCTTTTCGGTCAGAACCCACAGTGACGTTTGTGATGAGCGTTATTTCCCACGTTGGTTGGGGTACCTCTGGCACATCCGTAGAGCTGATTGGGACCAGCTCTGCCCCTTAGTCTGGTCCTAGCCGTGTCTTCTCGCGGCCCCCGGTGGCCCCGTGTTCAGCATCTTGGAATGTCGCAGTAAAAGTAGAAACCTGCCAGTCATCCCAGGCACCCGAGGCTCTGTGCCTTTTCAATTCTCGCTGCTCAGATCTGGGGTAGGTGGAGAAAAGAAGTAAGAGCAATCTGGGAAGAACAAACACAATGGCCGCTTGTCACAGCACGTTAAGAAGGCAACCCGCTGAAAACAGCCAGTACAACTAACCCCTGGACAAGCAGCACCCCATTGCTACGGGGCTTCTGTGATTCCCTCCTCTGCTGCTGCAGGGCACAGTGAACTCGAGGACCCTCACGGAACCTGACTCAGTCTTCAGTGCTCATGATCCCCATCCCGCTCACGCTGGGGAAGGGAGTACCAGTGCGATTTTCCTCCTCTTGTGCTGCTCTTGCCATGACTGGGACTCACATTCACTTCTCTGTTGCAGTGTTTGCACGCATCTTGTGAGTGTGTGTGCGGGGTGGGGGGGGTGGCATGGGGCTCTCATTTTTGGGGAGTGGGGTGGAGTGGATGTTTGGGTCAAACCCAGAGATGCTCAGGGCTGATTCCTGGCTTCCTGCTTAGGGATCGCTCCTGACGAGTCCCCGGGGACCATATGGGGAGCAAGGATTGGGGCGGGGCTGCCCACCCACAAGGCCAGGCCTTACCCTGCTGTCCTCTTCCTCCAGTCTGGGCTGCTCTCATTCAGCCTGTGTGCAGTGCTCACGGGGTCACACCCCTAGTCTCGGGGCTCACCCATCTGTATAGCTGGGGCTTATCGGAGGTGGGTACTTTCACGCACCTGGCTGTGTTCTAGAGGTCACACACGGATGGGGGAGGGGGTCCGGGGTCCCAGACAGCTGAACCACAGGGACACACTCTGCATGTGGATGACAGCAGGGCAGACTAGTGTCTGCATGGCTGGAGGTTGCTTTCAGCCACTGAATCAAGGCCCAGGCCCTGGGCCCCAAACCCTGCCTGCCCATGTAATGGCCACGGTATCTGTGGTAACAGATGAAGAGCCCATGGCTACAGAACAAGGTGTGGCCTGCACGGCCTGTGAGCTTTCCTTTTCCTTCCAGGCACCATCATCTCTTCCCCACAGCCTGAGTAATGATTGTTTGGGAAGGTTTGATGGGCTGTGTCTGAGAGGCTCAGTAGATCTGGGACATGACCTCTTACCTCTCACCCTTTTAAAATTATTTATTTATTTATTTTTTCTATTTGGGTCACACCCAGTGATGCTCAGGGGTTACTCCTGGCTCTGCACTCAGGAATTACCCCTGGTGGTGCTTGGGGGACAATATGGTATGCCAGGAATTGAACCCGGGTCAGCTGTGTGCAAGGCAAACGCCCTACCCACTGCACTATCGCTCTGGCCCCACCCTTCACCTGTTAGGTAGCCAACTGTGGTTCCCCAGCTCTGGAGGACGGGGGCTGTTGTGGTGCGTGGATACACATCAGGCTTATTATCATGAATGCCTAGCACACGGTCAGTGCCCAGTGAACACTGGACACAGCGGGAACTGAAGCTGTGGGTGTGTCTGGGGACCGGGGCAGCTCAAGTTTAGCAATACATCACATCTACCATAAAATGATGGCGAGAACTCTGGTTTGGCGTGTCTGGTTTGCACGCCTCATGTTCCCAGTTTGTTAAAACTACCCAGCACCCGGCTCTTCCCATCCTACCCCAATCTCTCGCAGACTCACTCTTTCCAAATGCTGCCTGATGCAAAAGTCATTTTTGTTTGAATGTTTTTCTTGGTCAATAAAAACTTGGCATGGGTGACCCGGGTTCAATTCTCAGCACCCCAGATGGTCCCCTGAGCACTGCCAGGAGTAATTCCTGAGTGCAGAGCCAGGAGGAAACCCTGAGCATCACCGGGTATGACCTAAAAAAAAAAAAAAAAAAAAAAAAAAGAAAGAAACTTGGCTTTTCTTGAAGGGCAGAGAGAGCTGATGTTATTTGTCATAGCAGTTTGGTTTCTTTGCAGGGTTTTGTTGTTGTTGTTATTTTTGATGTTGGTTTGTTTTTGCTTTGGGACCACACCTGGTGATGTTCAGGGCTTATTCCTGGCTCTCTGCTCAGGGGGTCATTCCTGGTGGTGCTGGGGGGACCCTCTGAGTGCTGGGGATGGAACCTGGGTCTGCTGCCTGTAAGGGAAACACCCTCCCCACTGTTCTGTCTTTCCGGCCCCCTATTTTACTGACCTGACAGTGCTGCTGCCTATGGGTTGTTTTGGGGTACAAGTCTGGAAACAATTATGAACTTGAAAGAAACAAAGGGTCTTTAGGAAACAGTTGGGGAGCCTGGTCACCCAGCAGGAGTTACCTGGACCTGCGTGCACGCCAGTAGTAAGGTTGAGTAAGTACCCTAAAACAAAGCAAGAAGGGGGAAAATGACAACATAAGTAAATGAGGCTGCAGCTTCGATTGGTCAAAGGAGATGGATGAGCCGGTCCAAGAATGACGGATCAGAGGCGGCAAAAGGATTGTGACCCCAAGAGGGGATGGAGAGCCGACGGGTCATTTTGGGATCCCCGTCTCTGGTCTGTTGGGTAAAGAAAATGGAATCCTGGCAAGGTGTGGGGTCAGCTTGGGGGCCCCCCATCCTGAGAAGGAGCCAGCAGTGCGCCTGGCACTTCCAAAGGCCGTGAGGGAGGCCCAGTGCTCAGCTGACAGGGTGTGCTCAGGTTCCAGACTGACCTCTGGCTTCCCTGGATGTGGAGAAACCCCAGAATCTTCTACTCCAGACCACTGGGAGAGAAATGACCACCAGAACCTTGGCCAGTGGTGCTGGGCCGGCTCCCTCTCAGAAGAGGGGTCATTTGCTCCTGCCCTAAACTAGCTGGTCTCATCCAACCTGGATGGGCAAAGTTCTCACCCAGAGTCCAACGAGGGCGGGCTCTGATCCTCACATGAATTTACAGGTTCCGCCCCATCTGGGTCAGTCTTTCTCCTTCCACTCTAACCACACCTCCCCCTCCCCAAGCACAGTGGGACAAAAAGGAGAGAGGAGGAAGGAGGCAAGGGGAGGAGGGGAAGGAGGGGGAGAAAGGAGGAGGAGGAAAGGCGGAGGTGGAGGATCAGGAGAAGGATGGCAAGAAGGAAGACAGACAGGGGGTGAAAGGAGAAGGAGAGGAGGAAGTAGAGGAGGAAGGAGAAGAGGAGGGGAAGGAGGAGCAGGAGAAGGATGGAAAGGAGGAAGGAGAGGAGGAGGGAAGAAAAAACAGGAGGAGGAGAGAGGGAGTGAGAAGAGGAGGAGCAGGGGAGGAGGAAGAGCAAGGGAGGAGGAGGAGCAGGGGGAGGAACAGCAGGAGGAGAGGAGAGGGAGGAGCAGGGGGAGGAGGGGCGGGGGAGGAACAGGAGAAGGAGGAGCAGCGGGAGGAGGAGAGGAGGAAGCGTCCGCGCGCTCCGGCGCCCCCGGAGGTACCTGGCTGTACTGAGCCGCGCCGACAGTTAATCATCTGCAGCCCGGGAGCCGCGGGCCCCGCCGCCGCACAGGCGCCGCCTCTCGTTTTCCGGGCCCCGGCACTTCTGGGGTTCCGGGCGCGGGAGCGCAGGGGGCCCCCATGGAGGCCACGTCTCGGGGTGCCGGGGACGCGCAACCGCGCGCGGGCTCCCGGGCCAGCCTGCTGCGGCGGGCGTGGGGCAAACTCTTCACCTGGTGAGTCCGGGCGCGCGGGCCGGGCCGGGGCGCTGCTCTGAGCCTTTGTCCCCGCGCGCGGGTGTGCGGGGACCTGCGGACCGGGGGGGGGGGGGGGGGCGGAGCCACGGCGGGGGCAGGCGGGAAGGGCTGGGGACCGGGTCCCGGGGCAGGGCTGAGCCCCGCTTTCTTCCCGGGGGTCCCGGTGCCGCGTGGGAACAGAGTGGGGCGCGCCCGGCTGGGGGCTTCGGCGCGGGGCTGGAGAGCTGTGCCGGAGGGACCCCCGTTCTCCAAACGGAGGGGTTTCCCCATTCTGCAAACGCTTCCCCCGGGGCGGTGCGCGAGGGCCCCCTTGGCGCGGTGTGTGACTGGAACCGTCTCGGATCTCGGTCCCCCTGTGCGTGCGCGGGCGCCTTTGCTTTCATCGCTCCGATGACCACAGCCAAGGGCTTTTCGGGTATTTAATTTCCCCGATGGAACCCGGGTCTCTGCGGGGCAGGACTCCACCGCCCAGCTGCACCCCCGACCCGGCTCCCCTCCCCAGAGCCTGGACAGGAGGACCGGGAAAGCCTCGCTGTCTTGCACGCGGGATGCACGCTAGGCGCGCGTTTCTGGCACTAACTACGACTGGGTCTCAGTGCACGCCAGGGGTGGGACCCGGCCACCTGCCACCACAGAGACCTGTTAAGCGCAGCCGCGGGTTTAGCTGTGGGACTCACAGCCTGTCTTTGCCACTCACTGCTGGGCACTAACCTCCGTGCCCCAGACCCCACCTCTGAACTGGAGGTAACCACAGCCCCCGTAGGCGCGCAGCGGTGATTATCCCGAAGTTGCATCCAAGGTGGGCTGGAGCCATAGCACAGCTGGTAGGGCGCTTGCCTTGCTCGCGGCCAACCTGGGCCGACCAGGGTTCGATTACTCCGCCCCTCTCGGAGAGCCTGGCAAGCTACCGAGAGTATTGCGCCCGCACGGCGAAGCCTGGCAAGCTGCCCGTGATGTATTCAGTATGCCAAAAACAGTAACAACAAGTCTCACAATGGAGATGCTACTGGGCCCGCTCAAGCAAATCCATGAACAGCGGGAGGACAGTGCTATGCAGTGCTCTACAGTGCATCCAAGGTGAACCTTTCCGGAAAAGATCTTAACTTTCACCACAGCGATTCTTTGGTGCCTACGTCATGGTGCCTATGGTGCCGTCGGTGCCGATGGTCACGGGGTTGGTGCTGGGCTTGCTTTACACCCCCACCCCCACCCCCACCCCCAGGCCTGTGAGTGCAGGGAAGGGGCTGCCCCTGTGGGGACAGCTTTCGGGTGACAGCTTGTGTCACTAGCTTCAGGCAGGCCTGTGCTGTCTGTTTGCACCTGCTGAGTGGGGATATTGCAGGGTGCCTGGCTGGCTGTCAGTAGGTGCCAGTAGACTCAGGGTGGGGTCAGGTAGGGGAGCACACAAGCTCTTCCTCCCCATCCAAGGCCAGGAAGCTGTGATGTGCTCCAGCTCTGGGCCACAGGGACCTGGGCCAGGAAGGTCTAGATGCTTTCAAAGTCTGAGCTTTCTTCTGGCTCAGGACACACTTGTTTTTCCTTCTTGTTGTTATTTGCTTGTTTTTGGGTCACACCCTGCAGTGCTCAGGGATCACTCCTGCGGTGCTCTGGGAACTTCACACAAGGCCAGCGCCTTAACTCTGTGCCATCTCTGGCCTAGACACCCGTTATTTTGGACAGTTATTTTAAACTCTTTTTTTTTTTTTTTGCTTTTTGTGTCACGCCCAGCAATGCTCAGGGGTTACTCCTGGCTCTGTACTCAGGAATTACTCCTGGAGGTGCTTGGGGGACCATATGGGATGCTGGGAATCGAACCCGGTTCGGCCGTGTGCAAGGCAAACGTGCTACCCGCTGTGCTATTACTCCAGCCCTTTAAACTCATTATTAAAACTGGAGCCGGGTGTAAGCCCTCACCCTGAACCTGATTCCCTGCCTCGGTAGGATCCTGATCCATTTCCTTTCTGGTTAAGAGAATGGACTCACCTGTTCACTGGCTGATTATTGAATATTTCCTGTGGCGGGCACCCACGATAATGAACTCAATGCATCCCCGGTGGACTCTGCTTTTCACTTTGGCTTTTCTCATCATGACCCGTGCTGTGGGAGGCTGTGAATTTCCCAGGAGCTCTGGGATTTCATTTTATCATCTAGCCATCTAGTTCACTTCCAATCCATGTGTGAACAAAATGCAGATTCCTTATCATGATTATCAGTTTTCTATTTCTAACAAATTTTGAAACTGTGGTTTCATCCCTTCTTTTCCCTTTAAAGTGGGCCATCTTGTGAATTCCGTTCCAGCCTCTCTGTGGCGTGGTGCAGGACTCATGTTCATTCCTCCTTCTGTTCATGCAGGATTTCCCAGCGCCTCTGAGCTGTGAGGACAAATAGGGTTTTCTCCCTGTCCCGAGATAGCTTGTGATCAGAGGACAGGCAGAAGCTAGGGTTTGGGGGTTGGTTGACAACAAGGAGGGCGGAGGTCATGTTCCAGTGGTGAGGTGGGTTCAGGAGTGGGTGGGCAAAGGTAAAGGGGTCCTGAGATTTGAGTAGGAGTTGGCTGGGTGGACTAGAAGGGAAGCTCTATCTTGCCCCGGGAACTGTAAGTTGCTTAGCATGATGGGAGCAGAATGTCAGGGGATGGACAGCAAAGGTGACAAATCTTCCAGTGCTTTCTGTGTTCTCTAGCAGGGGGCCTGGCCCTCGGTTGCTCCTTTCTTGGTCCGTGGTGGTCCTCCAGTGACGAACCCCCAGATCACAGCCAATTCCCAGCCTCCATCACCACATGATGACACCCTGTGCTCATCCCCTCTTCTTCTGGGGAAATTGAAATGGCCAAGCCCAGGACTAAGCCTTAGCCACTGAGTTCCAGGAAGGAGACTCGTGGCCGCAGAGCTATTGGTAATGACTCTTGTCCTCTGTCCCTTGGCCAGGCTGTTGCATTCTGGGGCCTTAGCAGTTTCTGCCCTGAAGGGGGACCTTTCTCTCTGCCTCTTAGAGCTCAAAGACAGTTAGCGGGGAAGCAGGCTAGACCCTCGCTACCAACTTTGGGAATTGCTTTTTATCATTATTTTAATATTTTTATTTAATTAAGACTCATGATTTGCAAAGTTATTGATAGATGCGTCCAAGGCAGACAATATCCCAACACCAGCAAAGTTATTGATAGAAGCATCTGAGGCAGATGAAATCCCAACACCAGCAAAGTTATTGGTAGATGTGTCCGAGGTAGACAATATCCTAGTGACTTCCCTTGCAGTGTCCCCGCGCTCCTGCTCACTGACCCCACATCCCATCTTGACAGGTGGGTTTCAGAGCTCCCTGGTTGTAGTTCAGATCTCATGTTCTCAGTGTTGTTGGGTCTGTGCTCGATAGTGAAGCAGGAAAGATGCTCACATCAATCCCCGGCATCCCATATGGTTTCCTGAGCCTGCCAGGAGTGATTCCTGAGTGCAGAGCCAGGATAAGCCGTGCCACAGGTGGGTGTGGCTTTTCTTTTCTTTTTTTTTTTTTTAATTTTTATTAGTGAAACACCATGAGGTACAAGTTTTTGTGCTTGGGTTTCAGTTATACAATGATCAAGTACCCATCCCTCCACCAGTGCCCATTCTCTACCACCAATTATCCCAGTATCCCTCCCACCCCTCCAAATCCCCCATCCCATCCCGCCTCTGTGGCAGGGCATTCCCTTTTGTTCGCTTTCTCCTTTTGGGTGCTGAGGTTTACAAAAGAGGCATTGATTGTGGCTTTTCTCAAACAAAAGCCATTGGGGACCCCGTAGAGGTGGGCCTGGGAGCCAGAGACAAGGGCTTTAAAAGTGGCTTTAAAAGTGTTTCTTTGCCTGCCCTCTCTCCTCCGCCCCAGGCCAGGGCTCTGTCCCTCCCAGGTGACCAGCACAGCTTATCCAGATCCCTCCCCCAGGCCCTTCATTACAGGTGGAGGAGGCAGGGGACAGTCATTTCCAGAACATTCCAGGAGTCCTGATCCCCCTCCATCCCTCTTGTCCAAGGCCTGGACACTTCCTCCCTGCCCCCCACACTCAGGTCACTCCATAGGAAGTGGGTGATGCTGGGCCCCACTCAAGGATGCCGGCAGCTGTCACTAAGGTGGCGAGAAGTCACATGAGAGCTGAGAATGACCTGGGCAGGAGCGGGCACCCAGCTCTGGGCTCTGTGGCCCTGGGGACACGCTTCTAGAAACAGGTGGTTCACTCAGCCCTACAAGGGTGAGGGTGGAGAGTTGGGGTGTCCAGGTGGAGGCTGAGCTGAGCTGGTTCTTCTGCATGCAGACGACCAGCCCTGAAAGACGGGCAGAAACCCTACTCCGTGCAAACTGGGTTTCCTGAAGGTGCCTCAGGGTCCACTCTGGGGGCAGATTGGGAAGCTGGAGCTGGGGAGATCTCTTGCCTTTGACTGTTTGGTTGGCAGGCGCTGGACAGAGGAATGTGTTCTTTGAAACAAGCATGGGGTTGCTTGGAGGGAATCCACATGTGCTTCTTTGAGTGGGTGGGGGCACATCTGGCGAAGCTCAGGGCTCCTTCTTGGCTCTGCACTCAGGAATCACGGTGGTGCTCAGGGGTTTAATCTGGGTGGGCTGCGTGCAAGGCAAGCACCCTTCCTGTGGCTCCTCAGCGTGTGCTCCTACATGGGTTCCTTCCACCCCCTTCAGCGTCCCCTCCTGTGCCCAAACAGACCCATTGTTTCTCTTATAAAATACTCATCTGTGTTGTTAAGGAGGCTGGGGTGTGGAAAGGAGTGCTGGGGAGGGGCTGGTATATGACCTCACTGCTCTGTTCTACTCCTTTGCCAAAAGGGGATAAAAACAGATCTTTTGGCAACTCACTAAATACCGGGGGGGGGGGGGGGGGGGGAAGGGGGAGGGGAGAATTTAATGTGTGTGTGTGTGTGTGTGTGTGTGTGGCGGAGGGAGGCCACACCTGTGATTATTCCTCGCTCTGAACTCATAAATTATTCCTGGTGGTACAC